CCCTGACATAGTGTGATCATGTCATCACCTACAAACACACGCCCCCTGACACAGTGTGATCCTGTCATCACCTACAAACACACGCCCCCTGACACAGTGTGATCACGCAATCACCTACAAACACACGCCCCCCTGACACAGTGTGATCACGCCATCACCTACAAACACACGCCCCCTGACACAGTGTGATCATGTCATCACCTACAAACATACGCCCCCTGACACAGTGTGATCATGTCATCAACTACAAACACACGCCCCCCTGACACAGTGTGATCATGTCATCACCTACAAACACACGCCCCCTGACACAGTGTGATCACGCCATCACCTACAAACACACGCCCCCCTGACACAGTGTGATCACGCCATCACCTACAAACACACGCCCCCCTGACACAGTGTGATCACGCCATCACCTACAAACACACGCCCCCCTGACACAGTGTGATCACGTCATCACCTACAAACACACGCCCCCTGACACAGTGTGATCCTGTCATCACCTACAAACACACGCCCCCCTGACACGGTGTAATCATGTCATCACCTACAAACACACGCCCCCCGACACAGTGTGATCATGTCATCACCTACAAACACACGCCCCCCTGACACAGTGTGATCCTGTCATCACCTACAAACACACGCCCCCCTGACACAGTGTGATCCTGTCATCACCTACAAACACACGCCCCCCGACACAGTGTGATCATGTCATCACCTACAAACACACGCCCCCCTGACACAGTGTGATCCTGTCATCACCTACAAACACACGCCCCCCTGACACAGTGTGATCATGTCATCACCTACAAACACACGCCCCCCTGACACAGTGTGATCCTGTCATCACCTACAAACACACGCCCCCCTGACACAGTGTGATCACGCCATCACCTACAAACACACGCCCCCCCTGACACAGTGTGATCACGCCATCATAATATTCATTCGCCCACGACACAGTGTTAATGTACATGTACCATCACCCAAAGGAAATAATCCCCGATACAATGTGTATCTGCCAATACACTCCCTCGTTAAACTAGAACTCATACCCGGCTGATATCTACATACACACGTGTCACCTGTCCATTTCAGAAAGAGTGACCTCATGGTCTTTGTCCAGATCGAGTTGGCTGTATAGTTGTTTTTCTGTTTCATCAAGGGTGATGCTATATGTGATGCAGAAACTGTTAATTTTTATATTTATACATATCAGTTTTTATCAATTGTGCCAAGTGATTTAAACAGAAAATCGTTAAAATGAATTATTTAAGTGACCCCAACAGCAGAAAACGTAAAATATATACAATGCGACCACTCAAGAACTGCGATTTGAATAGTCAGCAATAACAGCATCTGTGCTTGAAGATATTTATACAAATGCATGACAGCCAAGACAGAAGTTGTGTTGTGTTGTGTTGTGTTGTGTTGTGTTGTGTTGTGTTGTGTTGTTCTCAGGAACATTCCAGCTGTAAGCCTGCGGCCTGTACACAATTGTGTCTGGACCAAGCAGTCCAGTGATTGGTATTGTGAGCAAGGTACCATGCCGTCGCGTTATGTTGACACGCTATTAAGCAAAACACCGAGCCAGACCTCCCATCCATTAAGTCGCCTCTTACAGCCAGGGTGGTGGGGACCAATGCTTACCCGGAATCCAGACAGGTTCTCATTTAGCTGTCACGATTATGTTTCTAGGTCTGTCAGCACCAAATCCGTGTCTCGCCTCGCGTGTTTCACCAAAGTGGTAAACGTCTGAGACCTACATCACACTGGGCTTTCCTCCCACGTTAACCCGACACGCCGTGATATACGTGGAATAGTGAATGCGGCGTAAAAGTCAACTCACTCACAATTCGGAATTTAATAACTGTCACACACTGAGAGAAGATGTTTATTTAAGTCTCACATTCTGTACACTCATATCATGCAGATAACATTCATGGCACTGAAGCAGGATAAATATACAGTAAGTAGCTAGAATGTACAGGAACTACCAAGGGTTTATGAGAGACTATTAAAATCGAGGAAAACAGTTTGGTATAAACATCATTAATTTTTAAGGCAGATAATACAATATATTAAAATAGAATAAAATAAAACACAATACAAGCAATAGACATTCACACAAACGCATGAACGAACACGCATACGATGACACATATAGATGACAGGCAAACACAAGCGCATACGCAGGTGTCACGTACACTGTTGATAGTATCGGCAGATACATATAGATGACTGAGGCACACACAAGCGCACACGCAGGTTTCACGTACACTGTTGATAGTATCGGCAGATGTAATACAATACTATCAACCAGTCTCTCACCCATCCGTTTTGAACCAAAATACTATTTGCTTGAAAAGACACGTGGGTATCCATTCAGAATACATTATGTAATTATACATGAGGCAATACTCAGAGCTGCCTCCTCAACACCTCCTCAAGCTAATTACTGGATCTAGGACTTGGCAGACAAGTTAGGTGTTGTCATCCCCGCCTCCGTGGTGTAGTTGAGAGAGCTTCTGTCGGTGGAGAAAGCGTAAGGTCGGTGGGTCGGCATTAAGGGAAAAAAACAAGCACTGGTCGGCTCAGAATCAGTATACTGTGTCTAAGTGGGGTATCCATATTGAACGGCGTAGTAGTATCTCAGAGGGTAAGGCATTAGTACGCACGACACACACATACACACACACACACAGAAAGAGAGAGAGAGAGAGAGAGGGAGAGCGAGAGAGAGAGAGTTTAACGTCGCGTCCAAGATTATTGCACTTATATAGCGACGTGCATGCACGTGTATGTGTGTGTGTGGCTGCTTTTACTAGTCCGGACTGATGCCGATTTATAGTGCTAGCTCACTGAGATACCATGCCGCAGTTTAACATGAATACCCCACTCAGACACAGTATACTGACTCCGAGCCGACCAGTCCTTGTTTTAGCCCCTTAATGCCGAGCGCCAGACAGGGTAACAACAAGTACAATCTTTTAACGTCTTTTTGTATGACGCGGCCCGGGATCGAACCCTGGACCTTCCGCTCTCCGGGCGGACGCTCTACCACAAGACCACGGAGGCGGTCGACAGAGAAATGAAATGATTTTATATTGAGAGATAAATATTAGTATTTCGTCACTAACTACACAATAAACCTCTTTAAGCATAAATCCTATTTCTTACATGAAGCCTCTATTGTTTGGTTTATTGACTGGGGGGCGGTCGGGTAGCCTAGTGGTTAAAGCGTTCGCTCGTCACGCCGAAGACCCGGGTTCGATTCCCGACATGGGTACAATGTGTGAAGCCCATTTCTGGTGTCCCCCGCCGTGATATTGCTGGAATATTGCTAAAAGCGCCGTAAAACCATACTCAGTCAGTCAGTCAGTTATTGACTAGGCGTCACACCTCTTGAAATTGTCATTTAGATCTGATCACAACCTAGCTGGGACTAGAGATGTGGAATAGTCTATATCATGTGGGAAAGGTTACCGCCCAAGGGTAAGACATGATGTTTGCAATTGTGAAGTAGGAAGCAGAGAAGCAAGGAAGCACTTTTTAACGAAGAGTGGACCTCAAGTCAGACAATCTGGTGCGCGCCCGCTCTCGTCGTCTTGACACTATCTTTCGAACCAGAAACCAATCTGAGGCATCAGCATTCCGACTGACACTGAAAGTCCCTTAATTAAGTGCCAAATAGAGTGCGGAATGACCAGCGACACAAAGAGTGAATAAAAGCTGTAGAATGAAGGACGTCCTCTTGTGGTTGCTGGGGGAACTACGGTAAAGGTCCAAGGCCCTCGAGCACTGACACTGTACGGCCCGCAGATCCTAAATCGCCAGGACCAAAGAACGAGGGTTTTCCTGTAGTTCAGGTGACGGTACGTCAATCCAGAAGTTGGCAACGACTAAGCCGGAACCCAAACGACCTTCAAATTACCGTAATTAACATACACTAAGTACCTTGGGCAGTACGTGTGGGAGGAAGGGAAGTGAAGTAACAGCAGAACATTGGAGTGAGTGAGTTAGGTTTAATGCCGCTTTTAACATTATTCCAGTTATATCACGGCGTGTCAGCTTAATGTGAGAGGAAAGCCCGAAGTGATGCAGGTCTTAGACGTTTACCGCTTCGGTGAAACCCACGAGCACGGGTATGGTGCTGACAAACCTAGAAACATAATCGGGGCGAACCGGGATTCGAACCCACAATCATAGCTTTCTGGCGTGTCCATGGGACGCAACTCTGCACAGCGAATCGCAGCGCCTTAGACGACTTGGCCACCCGTTCCCCCGCAGAACATTGGAAGGATCAAATAAAAATTACTTTGTCGCTGACCAGTCATAAACGTACTTTGGTCAAAATTTGACGTGTTTGTGACAGATGATACGACGAACATAGAATCTATTTTCAACTTCTGATAACAGCACACTAACCTTTCAAACTATTGTATTCTAAAAATGTACATGCACAGTTGCTTCGACTGCCTCGTGGACCAATTTAGCTTACGGATTAACCCCTCACGGGGTCATCACAGCGTCGTTTTACATGAAACGGCCAACTCAAAATTACACGGAATGGGGAATCCTACTTTCCAATTGAAACATTACAAAATATAAAAAATCAGAAACATGATTGGCATAACAACCTACTTTTAGAAAAAGTTTTCATTGAGTTATAGAATAACAGAAAAACTGCAACAGCTGTATTTAAATATGTTAACATGTCTGTATCTGTTGTCATGATCACTTTACAATGAATATGTGAAATTGACAAATGATAAGATATTGTAGTTTTGGCCACAAATCGTTCACAGCAAAAAAAAGTGTAGGTTTCCGTCTTCCGGAAACCTTCCGGATACCTTCCCATTTTGAATCCGGCCCGGATACCTTCCGGAAATCTTCCAAAAATATGTCAAAATTTGGGGGGTGCATTTTTGTTCACATAGGTGTGAAACACATACAAAAAATATCTTGAAAATACCAAGAAATTTGAAGGTTGCTGAGGGCATCTGGAAGGTTTCCGGAAGGTTTCCGGAAGGTTTCCTGCTACACTTTTTTTGCTGTGGTTTTCAGATGTTTTCATATGAATGAGAATAAGTCTCTTTTAATCCACACTTGTATATACTTTTAGCAACAACACATGTAAGGTTGAGGCTAACATGTGCTTTAAAATGGTTATTTTTCGAATATACATGACCAAGTGTTTTATTTGTAGACAAGGCGTGAGATTTTCTCATGAATTTCGAAAAAGTCGTCCTTTTTATGCACCATCCTTACTTAGTACTCCAACTTCTAAATGCCTATCAAAGAAGCACCATATGACGTCCTTCATTCTAAAAGTGGAATTAATACCGATGCTACTTTGATGCTGAGAGTGCGACCATTGCAAGATAAGGCCTTCGAATGGTTGGAAGTAATTAACATTTAAAATCCTAAAACCTGATCCAGAATAGGTTTGGAAACAATTAATAAATTGCCGAAAGAATGCAAAGAATGTAATAAGACACACGTTCGATAGTAATCATACTATGACGAATAGAATTGTTTGCAATTAAACATCGGGCATATGCTTGTCTAACAAGGTGACAATGGCGTCTGAAGCTGCTCATAACATCACTCACTGGTTCTTCTGGCCCATATTCGGTTATGTACAGACGGTCATTATGTGGCTGGAATATTGCTGACTTCATGTGGCTGGAATATTGCTGACTTCAGCAACAACAACCAACAGCAAACAAGTAATGTTTTGCAATGTTTGTGACACACATATTGACTTCTATAATATCCATGGATACCGTTGTACAAGCAATCATCTAGGGCCTAGTTTGCTTCAAACATAGTGCTAAAATGCTGTGTGGAAGAAAAGCACATTGCACGAGTCGTAAATAAAAGCGACAAAGCCCTCCTCGCAGCCACAAGAAATTTCTGCTGTACGGAGACTGAATTGTACGATTCCAACTGTATCATGAGCATGTGTGATTGAATCACTATCACATAGCGATGATGTAGGGTATTCGGGAAAAGGTGAACTTATCCTGCTCCATCGGTGGCACCCGTCACACGGAAACGTATGGCACAAGTACATCTTTATGTCGATGGACGGATTAAAGGCAGGTAGGTGAGGGTGCAACAACACAGGTCTTGATGATATCATTCCATTCTGTGTTGGCAGGGCAGGGCATATCATTTAGAGTCCCAGCGTTACAAACAGCATACATGTGACAGCCTTGACAAGAGTGGTATCGTCCATCTCTTCCCGTACAGTCGGTCACACAGGCATCTGAAGAAACACGTTCATCAATCGATCAGTATGTTACAACATTGTCATCAGGCTTAGTTATACAACATGGCATCCTAGTGATATTTTCTCGTGAGAGGGTTTGGTTTAACGCCGCTTTGAACAGTCATATCACGGCGTGTCAGCCTACTGATTGAGGAAAGCATGAACCAAATTGAATGCAGGTCTTAGACGGTTACAACTTTAGCACAGGTATGTGGCTGTGAAACCTAGATATACTCTGAGCAACAAACTTATTTGGGGTCACAGCAGTTGAACATGGTCATTTAATAGCTTCATTTTGTATTGTAACATACATGTCTCAGCTGCAGTGGTGGTTGTTGTCATTGTTGTAGAAGTAGTAGTGGTCGTTTCTGAAGTGGTTGAAGTGGTCGACGAATGTTTGATCGTTGTTGTGGGAGCAGTAGTGTCGGCGTTGAGCGTTGATGAGTTTGGTGATGTAGTCGTGGTAGTAGACGCATACGTAGAACGTCCTCCTGTGGTAACAGTCGTTGGTGCGACACTAGTTGTTGTTGTGGGAGTAGTAGTGTCGGCGTTGAGCGTTGATGAGTTTGATGATGTAGTCGTGGTAGTAGACGCATACGTAGAACGTCCTCCTGTGGTAACAGTCGTTGGTGCGACACTAGTTGTTGTTGTGGGAGCAGTAGTGTCGGCGTTGAGCGTTGATGGGTTTGGTGATGTAGTCGTGGTAGTAGATGCATACGTAGAACGTCTTCCTGTGGTACCAGTCGTTGATGCGACACTAGTTGTTGTCGTGGTTGCGGCTGCAGGTGTGGTAGGTGTCATAGAAGGTTGAGTTAAGCCTGTATAATAAGAAGCGTTACATTTCTGTAAGAATTTTGTTTTTGGCTTCTTTTTAAACTATGAGATTTTAGCCGGGTCGGATTATGTGCCCTGGCTTAAAGTACCTTAACCTTTTTTCTCAATACAGTAAACTACGGTTATAACGAACTTAAAGGGGCCACTAATTTTAGTTTGTAATAACCGTAATCCTTTATAAGCATATACACAGGATATTTACAACAAATGGCCGGGACTAAAAACAAAGTTCTTTACACTGATCAGTTCGTTGTAAGCGTGTTCGTTATAAACGTAGTTTACTGTAAGCTCATTCTCAAAATGCCTCTTGTTGGACCTTTCACCTTCCCTTTTTAGTGTAACATATTAAAACAGTAAACTATGTTTATAACGACCACGCTTATAACGAACTGACGGATATAACGAACTTATGTTTGTTCCCGTTTGCTGTGCATATGTTGTATATGCTTATGACGAACTACGGTTATTACGAACTGAAATTAGCTGTCCCTTTGAGTTCGTTATAACCGTAGTTTACTGTATTAACAATATTACCTGAAGTGTTTTAGTTTGTTGTTGAACGCCGCCATCAGTAATATTCCAGCTATAAGACATCGGTAAATAATCCAGTCTGAATCAGACAGTCTAGTAATTGCACTTTTCCACCTCATTTCCACATGTGGGGGATAACCTTGGCTTTGTACAATACAGCTCACAAATAATAACCTCTTTCCTGTAGATTTTACGCGAACTTCCTGCGATACCACACTAGTGGCGAAGTATGCAATGTGTATTTCCGCAAGCATACTGCCGTAATTCCACAAACGTATCTCGATCGTACAGCGATAATTCGGCGTGTAGCATTAATTCCGCGATGTACCGCGTCAATTTCGCAACCGTACTGGGGTGTAACCGCGACAGGCTTTCAAAATTATTTGGGTAATAATAATCTTGCGTCCTCTTTGGGTACTTAATTGTGAGCAATAGTGTACGACCTTTAGTGGTCACTCGAAGGATTAACGCATGGCTAATATAACAGAAAACAATGGTCGATGATCATGATGTCAATCACTGGATTGTCTGGTCCAGATTCGATTACTTACAGTCCGCCGTCATATAGCTGGAATATTGCTGAGTGCGGCGTTAAACAACAAACCAACCAAGGCATAGCTGATCTGTTACACATAAGTATGAACCTTCCCGTGTATAAGCAAAGCATAGCTGATCTGTTAAACATAAGTATAAACCTACCCGTGTATAAGCACAGGTGACCAGTCCCCGCCTCCACGGGGACACAGATCTCCCCAGTATGACATGGTCGGCTCATGCAGGGATGCTGGTCGTTCTGAAAGACAGAGAAGATGCTTCGTTTTAAACGTTTAATAACTTGACTGCCTCACATATTAAGCAGCTTCACTATATGTGTTTCTTGTTTAATGCCACAACCAGCAATAGTTCAGCTCTGAGATGGCGGTCTGTAAATATTCGAGTCTGGACCAGACAATCCAGTGATCGACATCATGGGCATCTACCCATTGTTGTTTGTTTTTTTGTTTGTTGTTTAAAGCCGCACCCAGCAATATTCCAGCTATATGACGGCGGTCTGTAAATAATCGAGTCTGGACCAGACAATCCAGTGATTTACATCATGAGCATCGATCCACGCAATTGGGATCGATGACATGCCTCAACCAAGTCAGCGAGCCTGACCACCCGATCCCGTTAGTCGCCTTTTACGACAAGCATAGTTGCCTTTTACGGCAAGCATGGGTTGCTGAATACCTATTCTACCCCGGATCTTCACGGGTCACTGAGGTAATATGTATATGTAGCTGAATCTGAATCAAACACAAGCAAATGAACTATTGATCACAGTAGACAATACTCGACAACCGATCTCAGACATTACTAGAAACAAAATAGTTTTTGAGTGTCGTGATGTGGTAAGGAATGATCATTTAATGTTATTCAAGGAGGAAGAGAACTGCTACCATATTTTTCACAACATGCAACATGTCCCGCAAAAAATCCTATTTAATTTAAAACCTGAGGCAACTTATTTTTTCAGTATTTTCTTGACCGGCTCCACGTACCAAATGGTCGGTCACGAAGTAATTTGTAGTTACTTACAATTAAATATACAGTAAACTACGGTTATAACGAACTCAAAGGGACCCCTAATTTTAGTTCGTTATAACGGTAGCATATAGAGCATATGCACAGCAAATGGTCGGGACTACAAAAATAAGTTCGTTATATCCGTCAGTTCGTTGTAAGCGTGTTCGTTATAAACGTAGTTTACTGTAAATGAGTACATATCAATGTAATTTAACATGTGAATGAATCGATAGTGACATTGATTGATGCCTGGCATCCCAATTGCACACGATAACTCACTTAATAAAATTATGATGATGGGCCATATTCCCTTAAGTCCCTTTACACATATAAAAATTACAGTACCTCGCTGACACTGATTGGTATTTGACCCCTTAATTCATCAACAGCAGATGCATTCCCTTTTTGCGAACACCTTGTGTCTTCACTGATTTTCAGTGATTCATTCACATAATTTTCACTACTATTTTGGGTTTTACGCCCAATGGAAGCTGTTTCGGTATATACAATAAACTACGGTTATAACGAACTCATGATCAAAGGGACCACTAATTCTTATTCGTGAAAACCGTAGTTCGTTATAAGCACATGTACGGAATATATACCGCAAATGGACAGGACCAAAAATAGTTCGTTATATCCGTCAGTTCGTTTTAAGCGTGTTCGTTATAAACGTAGTTTACTGTAATCTAGATTTACTATTGTCTGACGTTGACGTTTTAGATTTACAATTGAAACAACTCACTGATTCTTTGTGTTGTAATTTAACTTCGTGTCTATGCATCGGTGTGATATATAGATATTATTTGCTGAGTGTGTTATATAAAAAAGCCTTTGGCTCCCATAATACAAAATTTCTTATCCCCAATATATTATATTTTGTTACAGTAATAATTTCTTTATCGCATAATGTCATTCTAAAAATAATCGATGTTTAAGGCGTTATGTCGCTCAATGTAGTAACTTTGAAAAGGTGTATGAATGTAGTGCTGGATCAAACCTCCCTATACTACGCCAAATGATTTACAGTCTAGTTTTTCTGCTACAGAAAAACACACACATTGGAAAACCCATACCAAACCTTATTGGAAATGCTGGTCAATAGTGTATTGAGAATACAGGCATTGTATGGAGTTTAAATTAGTTCTTGCAAGGTGATGCATAATTTTTCGATCTTATTTTTCTGTTTTTCAGACGGGATTATCGCATCGATAACAATATCCATTACAAAAGAATGTAGTAAGTCAAACCAACCTGTGGGATAGATGGCAAACTGACACCAGGCATGGCATGTATTTCCGAACACAAATACAATCATAAACTAACACCAACACAGATAAAACCAGCTGCAAAACACATTAAACAAAATAATCCAACGTAATCCCATTGAATGAGTGAGTGAGTATGGTTTTACCCCGCTTTTAGCAATATTCCAGGAATATTCCAGCAATATCACGGCGGGGGACACCAGAAATGGGCTTCACACATTGTACCAATGTCGGGAATCGAACCCGGCTCTTCAGCGTGACGAGCGAACGCTTGAACCACTAGGCTACCCAACCGTCCCTAATCCCATTGAAAGCAATATAGCAATATATAGTTTTGGATATAGTCATTCAGTTTTCAGATATTTTGGAATAAGGGAAAATTTAATATGTGAAACAAACGTCAAAGCCAGACAATAACCAGTCTCTATTACATGAGGGATGTATTCGTCTGTTTTCATACAAGGAGTTTCAAAGATCGGATTAAATCGTTCCTTTCGTTCATTGGGCAGCAAGTGATTCTGCATGAAATAGTATTTATCTTTACTAAAACAATAAGTCCTCTATGAAGGTGTATGTAGTTTTTTTTATACATTCATGTATCTAAGCAAACCAACGTGTATAAATTTTTATTCCTTAAACAAACCTACATTCTAAGTTATTCATTCTTACGTTTGTAATAAAACTCGAAGGTAAAAGTCTGCGTATCAAATTCCGTGCAGTTATTTTGATATAAAACGTCATTCCAAAGAGTAACCAGTCTCGATTACCCGATGCTACTGATTCCATTTGGCGTACAAGGCAAGACAGAGGTGAAAATTTGTGAATGGATCCCTGAAAATCAGAGATGACACCAGGTGTTCGCGAAGAGGGAAAGCATGTATGCCCAACCGGTAGCACCAGCCACTCACGCAAGATTGGTGAGTGAGTGAGTTAAGATTTATAGTCACATCGGCAATATTTAAGCCATATCGTGACTAAAGCAATTTATACGTTAAGAAAACATCGGTTGGGACTATATTAAAACCTGTCAGCAAAGGACAGAAAAAATTACTAGACTTATCACAGATTTCAATTTTTCAAAACTAGTATGTGGTCATAAAAAGAGATTACTAAACAGAACGATACATTGTAAAAACGGGCTATAGATCGCCAACAATTGAAGGTAGATCACCATACTAGAGACCATGGGGACTTATAGTACCTAAAAGTTTGCTACCTGCATGGATTTACATCATTCCTTCAGCTGCTGGCGCTTTAATGCAAGTTTAGCCATCAATTAAAAGTAACAATTATTCTACGATTAAAATCGTGGTAGGCCTAAATTTACTTTGAATGATGTGGAACTTACGTACCCACTCAGGGACACGCAAGATTAATACGACCGTGACCTGTAAACAAACGAGTCTTGACCAAACAATCAAGTGATGGACCAGACAGCGCCTTCACTGAGTTTGGTGAAACTAAAAAGGACATGTTAATTTTGCATTATGTTTGCTGTGTACAAGAATTGAATGAGCGTCCATTCCATGTTCATTTCAGCTTGCAAGCACCAAAGTGACGTTAGTATGGACAGAACCCGTGACGATCCGGGGTAGAATAAGTCTTCAGCAACCCATCCTTGCCGTAAAAGGCGACTATGCTTGTCGTTAGAAGCGACTAACGGGATCGGTTTGTCAGCCTCACTGATGCATGTCAGCGTATCCCAATTGCGTGGATCGATGCTCAATCACTGGATTGTCTGGTCCAGACTCGATTATTTACAGACCGCCGTCATATAGCTGGAATATTGCTGAGTGCGGCGTTTAACAACAAACAAACAAACAACCGAAGGTGTGTTTAACGATCTAAACCATCGGGTCACAATGACATGTAACCAGCTTTTTAACAGGCGTTTTCAAATTATGATCTATATGTACCATATCGACAAAAGCATACCTAACATTCAACGTTAAACAACAAACAAACAAACAAAGTATGGACAGTCACGTTTGAGACATACACTCATAAAAAGTTAAAATATATCAACCTTTGTCTCATCTTACATCTGTTTTTACTAATTCCTAAATTATTTCGTATTAGATGGATGTAATAAATCATATAATGAAGTTTACATTATCGCCTAGCTATAAATACACAGAAACAAGAAGTATGTTCTTGTAGCATGACCGTATGGCAAATTGCTTACGTTATTACTGCAAGTATATTCCTGGAAACTTGCTTTCTGTCGTTTAAATATGAAACATCAATGCCAGAGAGTAACCAGTCTCGATTATCCGACGAAACCGATTCATATGAGCGTAAAAGGAAACATAGCGGTGAAAATTTAATGAGTTTGTCGCTGAAAATCAGCGATGGCACGAGGTGATCGCGAAAAGGGGAATTATTTCCTTCACAGCCAGTTGCACTCGCCACAAACACAATTTGCGGAAAGAAATTATGTGTTGTTGCCTGGCACAGCACAGCGTTACTCCCGCCATGCGACAGTGGCATTTAACAAACCTGAAGAATCAAGTGATGAACCAGGCACACGATAGTATATTTACTGATTTTGTTAAAAAACAATAAACGATATCTGAATTTTGAATTACGTATGTAGTGTCTAGTTCGTAAAAGTACAGGGTTCCTGCTCATAAGTAAGGTGAGTGAGTTGGTTAACTGCAAATAGAACAACGTTCTTCACAGACAAATTATCATCGGATAAGGAGATTTATTAGAACTATAATGGCACTGGTGTCCGTCAAGTGAACTTTTCAGTCATGGTCAGTTAATTGAGCGAGTAAGTGGGGTTTAACGCCGCTTTTAACAGTAGTCCAGTTATATCGCGGCGTCAGCTTAATGTGGGAGGAAAGCCCGAAGTGATGCACGTCTCAGACCTTTACCACTTCGGTGAGACCCATGAGCACGGGTATGGTGCTGACAAACCTAGAAACATAATAGGGGCGAAACGGGATTCGAACCCACAATCATAGGTTTCTGGCGTGCCCAAGGGACGCAACTCTGCACAGCGAATCGCGGCGCCATACACGTCTGGGCCACCCGTGCCCCCCTCTGTGTAATGGAAGTCAACACTAGGAGCACACTATGTCAATATATTAGTGAGTGAATGTCGTCTTAACACGTATAGACATCATCGTAGAAGCATTTATCATACGACTACTTGATACGACCATACGATCACCAAAAAACACTGCATACTACAACCACAGGACCAAAACCATAAGCTTTGCACACAGCTTCATATACTGTGACCACAGAACCCGTGCCCCCTCGTACGTATAGGAAAAACTTTTAAGAAATATGTTCGTTTAGCAACACAGTGGTGGGAGGGGAAGGGGGGGCAGTAGTAATGTCTCGGCCCAAACATTTCTTTTGAAGTTGACTTAGCATGGTTGATAAGTGCTACAGAGCTGTATGGTGAAACTCTGGGACTACGAAACGTCCACTGCAGAGAATATACAATCTCAATCATTATCTCAATTATAGTAAGGAACGCAGTCGGATCACATTTGGAACGCAAGCGAAACGCAATGCTGTTTCGGAAGGTATGAGCCATGTCACCAAGCATAATCACCGATCCTCTGAAGTTGGCTCTAAAGACAAGCCTTGATACTGAATTTATTCTTCCCAGTAATTCCCATGCGGTATAATATACAAAAAGGCAAGTGTACATACCAGTGTATTTGGAACCAATACATCTGAATATAAATGATGTGGGCTGACACCTTGGTGATTGTATGAAAGCAATAAGGGCTTTAAAAGCAAGTGCACAGTATGACATATTATTGCAGTGCTTACTGTACGTACTGAAGAGTTACTATTTACTTTAAGTGAAGGTGTCTGACAGAAAAGAAATTTCTAATATCATAGACGAGTACATACCAGTCCAAATGGATTCATGACATCCGAATACATATAATGTGGACTGACAGAGAAGGATGCTGGTGAGGTGTCCCTGGTCTCACTGCTGAGGTAACACAAGCCCGTCCTTGTAGCCCAGGTGCAGGACATGCAGGAGACGGAGTACCAGCACAGAGACTGACACGAGGTGAAGCTGGAGACCCCTGTCTCCATGTATACACCAGACACAAGTTGTCCAGAGAAGGTCTTCTGTGCGTGTCCATGTGTTGAAGCCAACAGGGTACAAGCAATGAGCAATACAAAACTACACCCGTAGGACACCATGTCTGTTGTCTTCTGAGAACACTCCCTGGATATTAATCTATGGTTATGAAGCGAATTGTGTCATGGCATGCCTCAGTGCGGTTTCTGACAACGAGTAACGGAATTTTCCAGAATATGTCGATATGAGTCGGTGTCCTTCTCTCAGAACTGAGACAAAGAGTTACCACTCAAAACTTACATTAACGTTATTGCGTTCAGTTGTCTGTAATCTGATAACAGAACGCATCCTTTGTCTAAACTTGGTCTGTGGCGATCCCCATTGTCTCAACTCTGTTTTCTACCAACATACTTTATGGGACTGTAATGTAATATATATAAAAGGGCGAGATTGAAATGACATGCTATCTGCATCAGGCATCCAGGCGTGCCCATGTGAATGTAATCTGACAATGCTAGAAAACATCAGTCAAGAAGCAAGGGATCACTCATGATACAACTGCACCCTAGGGATAGAGTAGTGTCTCATCATTCAGATTAATTGCCCATAGAGTAATGGGTATTATATATCTGATACACCGCGTACATTCTGAACAATGTATGCACGAAACCTTTGTTATAGTTCATTATATCCTGAATAATAAAGAGGTAATGATTTGTTCATACAAGATCCAGCTTTTGTTTCAACTTGTTATCACAGGAGTACTAAACAACCCTAATAACGATACGACAATATGAGAAAATGTTAAACAATAATCATTGACTATTGATTTTCACACAGGACCCGAGAAGAACCGGGTTATAATTAATCTTGAGCAGCCAATGCTTGCATCGTGATATGGTGGTCGGGCTCGCTGACATGGCTGATGCGTGTCATCGTATCCCAATTGTGTAGGGGCGGTGGGATAGCCTTGTGGTTAAAGCGTTTTCTCGTCACCCGGAGGCCTGGGTTCGAGTCCCCACATGGGTACAATATGAGAAGTCCTTTACTGGTGTCCCCCGCCGTGCAATTGCTGGAATATTGCTAAAAGCGGCGTAAACGATACTCACTCACTCAAATTGTGTAGATCATTATGGCAAAAACTGGATTACCTGGTCCAGACTCGATTATTTACAGACCGTCGTCATATACCTGGAATATTGCGTAAGTCGACTTTTGCGACGAACATGGGCCGCTGAAGAACAATTCCAACCCGGATCTTCACGGACTTGGTTTCAATTGCAATGAAATGTAACAAAAATGCACTAACTACACTTGACAACAAGTAACAATAATACAACTGCAATATTTATAATGGATGTAACAAAACACTACATTGCACACAGTTATAAATAGAACCTATTTTCCGTGACAAACAGTCACACTTATACATTACAGCGATCTCCCGGGGAATGATATCGAGTGTTTCGCAATATTGATGCAGGTGAAACAACAAATCATCGATCTGGTCTAGACTCGGGACAATTTCAATTTGTTCATAACGTTTGTTGCTAAAACGCCCTTGAGTAAGTTAGGTAGTGAGTTAACGCCTCTTTGAACAATATTTTTAGTGTATGAGACAACTGCTTATATTCTTTGTCACGGCACATATTTAAAAAAATAACACAGCAGTGCTTCAACATCTCAGTTTGTTTACTGTAAGATAAATAAATTTTGTACAATCAATCATTTTGGCGCGGGCTTGCAGTGAAACGGTTGTGAGTGACCATCTTTTAAGGTCAAGGTCACAGTGAAGATGTACTCGTCACCAAAGTGGTCTGTCCAGCTTCAGTGTTAATTGTACATGAAAACGTATGTATATATGATGGCTATCTTACGATGATAGCAGCACGTCAAGGCGAGCAAATTTCGAAGAGGGACATATACTAATACTATCCTTGTTACATTGAATTCCACCTCATCATCATAGTTGCCTTATATAGTGGATAGCTCTTGGGTATGTTCACGACATAATTGTCACTAATATTGAAGGTCAAATTCACTCTCACGGTGATAAGGTCCAAAACATATTATTTTCACCACTCAAGAGAGCCCTAATGGTGAAGTGGAATCTATTACATAATTATCATCACGGGATGGAGGAAAAAGTGTTAAAATCTTGATCGGCCTTCAGTGAAGTTCAAGATATATAGAATACTAAACGAGCTCCCGTGTAATACCAATTTTATGAAACGAGTGAATAGTTGTGGTATCTGACGAGCGAAAGCGAGTCAGATACCACAACTATTCACGAGTTTCATAAAATTGGTTTTACACGGGAGCGAGTTTAGTATTTTATTTATTACTTGCAATTTATAACTTTTTTTTTAATACTGTTGAGTATGAATAGGCTGACACCTACATGATCCACGACATAGTCCAATTGAGTTTAACAGAATAATACTTCAAACACGTCAAAAGTTGAAACGTATGAATTTCATACCATACAACGGGTCTACCTTTAGAATTCACAAAATTATCGTAGGGCTAAGACTTTCGCATCTCACATACTTTAACTTAGACCAACGACTGTCGTTGCGCTACAATACGATCGCCTTGTGGAACGGACCTTCCACCTCAAAGTTTTCAATAACGTCACAATACCCGATGACGTAATTTGTGGAATTTTTGATGCAAGATCCATCGGCGAGACAATGCCATGTGACGTCAGCCCAGCAACAAGGTTGCTGGGGTCATCGAGTGTGCATAAGCTCCTCTCAGTGATCTATCAACTCCACACGCAATGTCGTTGAATAAGCCAAGGGATGTTGAGAGCTTTCAATATTTGTTCGTGAAACGTGTTCCGAGAGTACATAAGCACGCGTTTTGGTATTACACAATGTGTAATAAAGCTGTATGTTTATTAAACGGGTGATCTCTTCACGGGCAAGTAATAAAACTGGAATAGTCATTCTTAAGGTTGTTCTGATTACTTGTGTCAAGAACCAACCGGTTGGTTTTGGTGTGGCACGTTAAGAGACAGTAAAAAGAAGCACCGATACGTCCAACTAGACGTGACCGCCTCCGTGGTCTAGTGGTAGAGCGTCCGCCCGGAGAGCGGAGGGCCCGGGGTTCGATCCCCGGGCGCGTCATACCAAAAGACGTTAAAAGATGGTACTTGTTGTTACCCTGTCTGGCGCTCGGCATTAAGGGGCTAAAACAAGGACTGGTCGGATCGGAGTCAGTATACTGTGTCTGAGTGGGGTATTCATGTTAAACTGCGGCATGGTATCTCAGTGGGCTAGCACTATAAATCGACATCAGTCCGGACTAGTACAAGCAGCCACACAATGCACACACACGTGCATGCACGTCGCTATATAAGTGCAATAATCTTAGACGCGACGTTAAACCGAATTTCACCTCACATAATCAAGCACGTGATGAGATGGTCAAGGTCGTTCAACGAGAATTGAATATAACTTTCTTATAATAGTAGACAGAGAACCTTCTGGTGTAATATGTGCTACTTTGGGTTCTGTTTACACGTATTTTAAATATTGAAGCAATACCACCACAGGGGACATCAGAAATATGCGTCAGACATGGTACATCCTGCCGCTAAGGGAAATGAGAGCACTACCATTGTACTTATGCATATGAATTATAGTTAACCATGTAAACTTTACGTTGGAGCGCTGTCCTTCACTGAATTATTTGAGTGAATGGCAGCACAATATTGAATAACATACTATTGTTATAAGATCTAACAGCAGGTAGCGAAACCTTTTCGTGCCACACAAGCGCTCGTAAGGCTGGTTTTAACGTCGCTTTGAACAATATCTCATTAATAGTATACTGAAGCTCACCCGTAAAGATCCGGGTTTGAACAAGGTCTTTAGCAACCCAAGCTAGCTGTTAAAGGCGACTATGCTTATCGCAAGAGGCAACTAACGGGATCGGGTGGCAAGTCTCACCGACTTGGTTGATACATGTTATCGTGTCCCAGTTGCGTGGGTAGATGCCCGACCCGTGAAGATCCGGGGTAGAATTGGTCTTCAGCAACCCAAGCTTGCTGTAAAAGGCGACTATGCTTATCGCAAGAGGCAACTAACGGGAGCGGGTGGCAAGTCTCACCGACTTGGTTGATACATGTTATCGTGTCCCAGTTTCGTGGGTAGAGGCCCGACCCGTCATGATCCGGGGTAGAATAGGTCTTCAGCAACCCAAGCTTGCTGTAAAAGGCGACTATGCTTATCGCAAGAGGCAACTAACGGGAGCGGGTGGCAAGTCTCACCGACTTGGTTGATACATGTTATCGTGTCCCAGTTTCGTGGGTAGAGGCCCGACCCGTCATGATCCGGGGTAGAATAGGTCTTCAGCAACCCATGCTTGCCGTAAAAGGCAACTATGCTAGTCGTAAAAGGCGACTAACGGGATCGGGTGGTCAGGCTCGCTGACTTGGTTAATGCATGTCATCGATCCCAATTGCGTGGATCGATGTTCATGATGTAAATAACTGGATTGTCTGGTCCAGACTCGATTATTTACAGACCGCCGTCATATAGCTGGAATATTGCTGGGTGCGGCTTTAAACAACAAACAAAAAAACAAACAACAATGGGTAGATGCCCATGATGTCGATCACTGGATTGTCTGGTCCAGACTCGAATATTTACAGACCGCCATCACAGAGCTTGAATATTGCTGGTTGTGGCATTAAACAAGAAACACATATAGTGAAGCTGCTTAATATGTGAGGCAGACAAGTTATTAAACGTCCCAGGTCAATTATTTGTGAGTGAGTGAGTGAGGTTTTACGCCGCATTTAGCCAATTTCTAGCAATATCTCAACGGAGTACAGAAATAGGCTCCACAAATTGTAACCAGTTTTGAGGACCTATCGCTTTAAGTACTTGGCTAGAAATAATCCCCAAACAAAAATCATCAACCTATCCAATACATACGGATGACATACTGCGTTGAATGTTAGGTATGCTGTTTTCGATTTGGTACATATAGATCATATAGAAAATGCCTGTTAAAAATATTTGTGATCTATGAAAGTGGCTGGTTACATGTCATTGTGACCGGATGGTTTAGATTGTTAAACACCCTCTTGTTTGTTTGTTTGTTTGTTTGTTTGTTTGTTGTTAAACGCCACACTCAGCAATATTCCCGCTATATGACGGCGGTCTGTAAATAATCGAGTCTGGACCAGACAATCAAGTGATTAACATCATGAGCATCGATCCACGCAATTGCTATACGATGAAATGCATCAATAAATTCAGCGAGCCTGACCACCCGATCCCGTTAGTCGCCTTTTACTGCAAGCATGGGTTGCTGAAGACCTATGCTAACCCGGGTATTCACAAGTTTAACTATAATAAATACTTGAACACTTGAACACTTGAACTCGTGAACACCTGACTCAGACAACAAAGCAAACAGTCAGAACAGAATAGTGCAGCAGCACGTAAAATGCTCTTGAGAAAGATACAAGTGTGCATACTGAGAACAAGATTGATTTTGCTTGTAATAATAAATACCATAAAAGTAAACAACGTGACAGTATTGATGCCGTTGAGTGCTGCTGTACAGGAGCCTGAATGTTTCATCTGCTGCTTACATGTAAAGCGTTTAATGCACAAACTCCAAAGAGAGCTTTTTCAGAAGCACTTGGACAATTCGTTTAATTTCATTTTTTTCTTTTCGTCAATATACACAATAATTTACTGATATCAAAACTAGATACCGATGATAATATAAATAGTATTCAGATAAAATACCAATTGTTCCCTTCATCGGTCATCAAACACACTCTTCAACCGACTCCAAACACAAATTATCTAAGTTGATTATTAACAGCTCTCGGATAATACTAAGACATCAGAGGTCACATAATGTTAACACACAAAGATCGATGCGTTTTAAGTGAGCTGTTTCTCATAAACATTCATACTTTTATAGAATGCAAACAGCATGATTCAATTTGGCACTACCAGTTTCTACTCTTGTTTTGACACTGTTACTTACCTACACCTTGCTGATTGTTTGAAAGCATTAAGGGCTTTAAAAGCAAGTGCACAATATGACATATTATTGCAGCGCTTACTGTACGTACTGAAGAGATACTATTTTCTTTGGGAGAAGGTGTCTGACAGAAATGATTTGGCACTACCAGTTTCTACTCTTGTTTTGACACTGTTACTTACCTACACCTAGGTGATTGTATGAAAGCATTAAGGGCTTTAAAAGCAAGTGCACAATATGACATATTATTGCAGTGCTTACTGTACGTACTGAAGAGCTACTATTTACTTTAAGAGAAGGTGTCTGACAGAAACGAAATTTCTAATATCATAGACGAGTACATACCAGTCCAAATGGATTCATGACATCCGAATACATATAATGTGGGCTGACAGAGAAGGATGCTGGTGAGGTGTCCCTGGTCTCACTGCTGAGGTAACACAAGCCCGTCCTTGTAGCCCAGGTGCAGGACATGCAGGAGACGGAGTACCAGCACAGAGACTGACACGAGGTGAAGCTGGAGACCCCAGTCTCCATGTATACACCAGACACAAGTTGTCCAGAGAAGGTCTTCTGTGCGTGTCCTTGTGTTGAAGCCAACAGGGTACAAGCAATGAGCGACACGACACCACTACCGTAGGACACCATGTTTGTTGTCTTCTGTGAACATGCCACGGAAACTGACTGGAACGTATGTTAATGAAGAGAATATATTATTGAACGTCTTCCTCGTGGGCTGTCAACCTGGATGGATGAACTGTTTTGATCATCATCATCAAATAACATGGTCTTTTGTATATACGATGTGAAAGACTACTTCGTGTTAATGTTTGTTTTGCAGTGTCCGATGGAGAAAAAAAATAGCTAACAAAGCACATTTGTGTTTAAGCATCAGAGGATCAGTCGGGGGGGGGGGGGGGATTGCGTTCCGGTGGGGTTTTTTTCGAAAATAGAAAATTGTCCAAGAAAATGCTTGAAAGAAATAATTGTGCTTCGAATTGGTGAAAAAAAAATTGTCTGCAAGAAAAAAAACATTGTCGCAGGATCTTCGATTTTTGAAATATGACTGGTGTGTGTGTGTGTGTGTGTGTGTGTTTGTGTGTGTGTGTGTAGCGACGTTTCGATGTTAATCTTTATGCCGTTATCAAGCTGGAGTAGGTTCGTAATCCCCTGCTTTTTTAAAGAGTATACCTGCAAATTGAACAACGTCCTCCACAGACAAATTGTCATCGGATGAAGAGATTTATGAGAACTATAATGGCACTGGTGTCCGACAAGTAAACTTTTCAGTCATGGTCAGTTAATTGAGTGAGTGAGTGGGGTTTAATGCAGCTTTTAACATTATTCTAGTTATAAGTATATCGCGGCTTGTCAGCTTAATGTGGGAGGAAAGCCCGAAGGGATGCACGTCTCAGACGTTTACCACTTCGGTGAAACCCACGAACACGGGTTTGGTGCTGACAAACCTAGAAACATAATCGGGGCGAACCGGGATTCGAACCCACAATCATAGGTTTTGGCGTGCCCAAGGGACGCAACTCTCCAGAGCAAATTGCGGCGCCTTAGAAGACTGGGCCACCCGTGCCCCCCAATGCCGAATGACCGACAGGCTGTTGACGATGGCCTTTAAAGAAAGCCTTGTATTGCATTGATCTGGTAAATACGTTTGAAGAATAGACGCCCAGAGGCGACAGATCAGCAAAGAATAGCAGGTATATTTGTATAGAAACTTCAAAAGGTGATTGTATAAACAAAAGCACACGTATATGAGTGCCAAGTCTTGAGACGTAATGTTAATACGAAAAATAAATAAAACAACCAGCCTTCAAAATAATTCTTGGTTAAAAATGAAAATGACGTCGACACATAATCGTTGTTGAGAGCTATAAATGGACCTTTACTTTGCTGACTGCGCAGAGGAAAATTCCAACGTCAAATCAACATGGCGCCTCGTGTTTCAAGTGTGTGACGTGTGTGAACACGCTTGGAACTGTAGTATTCACAATGACGTAAACATTATGTAATTAACTGTGGCACGGTTGGAACGAAAGGAGTTTTGCTGTGTTAAGGAGTACTGTTGTTTGGCGTCAGTCAATACATATTTATTTTTATAAAATTGGGTGAATGTCGGGGGCTAACGTTACAACAAGACACGTTCACCCTTTTCGCGAACACCTGGTCTCATCACTGATTTAGTGGTCCATTCATTTAATTTACACAGTTATTTTACCATTTACGACATATGGAATCTGTTTCGGCCGCCAGTCTAGACTGGTTATTCTCTTGCATTGACAATTCATATTTCTATTAACTCTCAAGATGGACGAATTAGAGACACGTCATGGATTGCGATATCATTCTTCGCAAATATCCTGCCTCGTTGCAACGCAAGTCTAGAAATCAGTGAAAACTATGTACTACTATTGTTTACCCAATGTTTACAAAACAACTGACTCCAAGTCTTGGCGCTTTACATCCATGTCTTTGGCGTGAGTGAGAGTAGGAACCACTTGGTTATCTCACAGACCCGTGTGTACATGTTGGCTACACTGTCCTGTAAACTAAATATTTCCCACAATGTTTAAAGACCCTATGAGAGCGACTTCGAACTTACTTTTCGAGAAGAGTAATATTATGCATATGTTCCACTCAATAAATTTAATCGGGACAAAAATAATTCCTTATTCATAAAACACCTCTGCCAAAAGCAGAGTCGATTATAGGATTCCGACTATATCATGTGTTTCTGCATCTCTATCAAATAGTGATGATAAGTGTTTGCGAAAACTTGAGCGTATCCTGCATCATCGGGGACTCCAATCACATACACATGCAAAGGCAAGTCATTGTGTAACTGAAAAACCATGGTACAAGTCAGAATAGGGAATTGTATCGGACATCATTGTAGTCACTGATAGGTCAAATTTCGGAATGTCCTCCATTTATCTACCATAAAAAAAAGTTTTGAAAGCTTTACTGAGGCCTGGGGTGTTGTAACCTTGATACAAACTCTTTTTGAACAAGAGTCGCATGACGTTTTTTGAAATCTTCGAGAGATTTGAAAGGTTGGAGTAATCCCTCTTGTCTCGTGGAGAGTTTTTTGTCACTCTTTTTGTATAGATCGAAATACGAAACAGAAGAGGCAGTCTCATCGGTCTTCTTTATTTCCAGATCAGATGGGTAAATCAATTGGAAGGAACTGGCTGTTCTATTGTTATTAAACGATATCAGATCATTGATATGCATTCTCAGGAGATTTAGATAAAGATCGAAGTCAACAGAATCGTCGAGACGTAAACTGTCAATACTCAGTGTAATTTAAACGTGTCTTTCTTTTACCATATACAGCTATTGTTGGAAAGGCACAAGCCCGTTCCGTTTGGCGCATTGCCTGAGCTAAAGGCACGTAGGTGAGGGTTTAAGAACACATGTTTTGATGAGATCATTCCATTCTGTTCCAGGAGAGCAGGACATATCTGTCAGAATCCCTTTTTCACAAACAGCAAACATGTCGCAGCCTTTGCAAGAGGGATATTGTCCTGTTTTTCCAAGACAGTCGGATACACACGCATCTGTAGAAACATGTAAAATGAGAAAATATATAAAGTCAGCAGCAATTTTATCAGAATTTCACGAATATTCTTTTGTTTGTACATAGGATTGTTCCACAAATAGCCAAAGGATCGGAATTATCTGCATTGTAAAATAGCATACCATTCTCCGCAGCTGCAGTGGTCGTTGCCAATGGTGTTGAAGAGGTATCTTCTCCAGTAGTCGAGGCAGTTGTAGTAGTTGTCGCATCAGCTTGTGCTGTACTGACAGTTGTAGTCGTGTTGGTCGTACCAGCCCCTGCTGTAGACGCAGTTGTAATCGTGTTGGTCGTACCAGCCATTGCTGTAGACACAGTTGCTGTTGTGTTGGTCGCACCAGCCCTTTCTGTAGACACAGTTGCAATTGTGTTGGTCGTACCAGCCCTTGCTGTGGAGACAGTTGCAGTTGTGTTGGTCGTACCAGCCATTGCTGTGGAGACAGTTGCAGTTGTGTTGGTCGTACCAGCCCTTTCTGTAGACACAGTTGCAATTGTGTTGGTCGTACCAGCCCTTGCGGTAGACACAGTTGCAGTCGTGTTGGTCGTACCAGCCCCTGCTGTAGACGCAGTTGTAGTCGTGTTGGTCGTACCAGCCATTGCTGTAGACGCAGTTGTAATCGTGTTGGTCGTACCAGCCATTGCTGTAGACGCAGTTGTAATCGTGTTGGTCGTACCAGCCATTGCTGTAGACACAGTTGCTGTTGTGTTGGTCGCACCAGCCCTTTCTGTAGACACAGTTGCAATTGTGTTGGTCGTACCAGCCCTTGCTGTGGAGACAGTTGCAGTTGTGTTGGTCGTACCAGCCCTTGCTGTGGAGACAGTTGCAGTTGTGTTGGTCGTACCAGCCCTTGCTGCGGAGACAGTTGCAGTTGTGTTGGTCGTACCAGATATTGCTGTGGAGACAGTTGCAGTTGTGTTGGTCGTACCAGCCCTTGCTGTGGAGTCAGTTGCAGTTGTGTTGGTCGCACCAGCCCTTTCTGTAGACACAGTTGCAATTGTGTTGGTCGTACCAGCCCTTGCTGTGGAGACAGTTGCAGTTGTGTTGGTCGTACCAGCCCTTGCTGCGGAGACAGTTGCAGTTGTGTTGGTCGTACTAGCCCTTGCTGTGGAGACAGTTGCAGTTGTGTTGGTCGTACCAGCCCTTGCTGTGGAGACAGTTGCAGTTGTGTTGGTCGTACCAGCCCTTGCTGTGGAGACAGTTGCAGTTGTGTTGGTCGTACCAGCCATTGCTGTGGAGACAGTTGCAGTTATGTTGGTCGTACCAGCCCTTGCTGTGGAGACAGTTGCAGTTGTGTTGGTCGTACCAGCCCTTGCTGCGGAGACAGTTGCAGTTGTGTTGGTCGTACCAGATATTGCTGTCGAGACAGTTGCAGTTGTGTTGGTCGTACCAGCCCTTGCTGTGGAGACAGTTGCAGTTGTGGTGTTCGTACCAGCCCTTGCTGTGGAGACAGTTGCAGTTGTGTTGGTCGTACCAGCCCTTGCTGTGGAGACAGTTGCTGTTGTGTTGGTCGTACCAGCCCTTGACGCTTCTACAACAGTAGTAGAGGCATGTGTTGTGCTGCTTGACGTCATTGTTGTTGAGGCTGCTGTATTCATTGTAGTTGATGTTGGATATGCTGATGCTGATGTTGGAGAGGCAGTGACATCAGTAGTAGACATCGTTGTCGTGGTGGTGTCCGTGCCAGCCCTAGTACTCGAGTCAGTTGCAGTAGTTGCTGTAGCATCAGTCACATCACCTTACAATAACAAAAGGAAAAAAACAATATGTTTTCTTAACCTGGCAAACACTGATCTTGGAAGAACCAGCATCCAGTAAGCTAAGTATGTATAATATCACTATAGTCCTATGATATAATGTGCTAATCATAGAGAATTAAATGGCATAAACCAATTTCATTCATAATTCCCCAAACATTACAAATAAAACAAAAAATTGAATCGGAAAAAGGTACAAATAAACCTGGATTTCATTCCACAGAGCGATCTGAGCACTACGCCTATCGCAAGCCTCTGTTAAAGTAAGGGAGATCATCTTAGCGCTAAGATCGCTGTGTAGAACAGGGCTCTGATGATAAACCCTACACTGTATGTACACATACTTATTTACAACCAAAACTGGATTCCACGGGAGATTCCGCGTGGGTGAGCTCAAGCGATATCTTCTAGGAGATATACCTACAATGAAAATGCATCACAATGCTTTCCGGAACATGGTGACGTAATCTGTTCCATGACGTCACAATCAAATGTCATCAGGAATCTCTAGAATTACCAATGGTACTGGAGTATGACGGAACGGCCGCTTTTTAGGCTGCAGACTAGACGCTTTTTACGGCTGCAGAAAAGCCGGCTATTTGACCTGTCAATTTGAAGTTTTCACGAATTCAAGGCCAGCGTGTTAAAGAAAATTAATGTGACAGTCGTGGCCCAGAAACAGTGGTTCATGTTCTGAAATGAATCTCAGTGATCAAGTGTGCTTTGATTTCAGTGATGTCGGGACATTGTTTTCGCCTTTCGATGGTAGCTGGAGAATCTAGGACTGTTTTCTGACGGACTTTTAAATCCTCTCCTGCCAAATCCTTACGGTGGTGGTAAACGGAGATGGCAATGAATATAGATCACAAAAAGGTTTGTAAACAATATGTTGTCATGAATAGATTTTCTTCAAACATGGTTCATAATGTTTTATTTTACTGTCATTGTCGGTTGTTTCAAAGATTAAATAGCCTGTTCCGATTCTGGTCGTCATAGAATGTCCCTAACAGCTTCATAAACATTTAATTTGTATGGAAATGATATCGTTAAATATTGTAGTGTCATCAACGTAGCAATAAGGGTTGGCCAAGAACGCCAAAAACATCCGATTTCAAACTACCGTATTTTCTCTATTAGACGCTATGCCGTCTATTTATTTCGCGAGAGCCCTTGACTCTGCGTGTATTAGAGACCTGTCTTGTATTTGAGACCCAGCGTGTAATAGAGGAAATATAGATACGTTTTACCGTTCATAAAGGGATGATCGATCGCCAGCCATTTGTTATGAATCGATATGTAGGTTATCGATGTATTCATATACACAGGTTTTGTGTGAAAAGGTTTAATATATTTGAAAGGGGTTTCTGTAGCAGAAAAGAAACCTCTTTTTAAACAGTCAGAATCAAGCATTCATCAATGCCACGGTAGAATACTATTTGCACACTGAAAAGTGGGAAGAATGATTTGGGATAATAAATAGTATCTCACCCTTGTCTCTTCTGATATCAAATATACAAACATTCGTCGATAAAGTGTACACCTCCTCGGCAAGCCTTGGGGCTTTAAACTGTTATCGGCTCGTGTTAATATACCTATTTTGATATGAAAAGAGATTATCTGTTTCTCAGCTACTTAAAGTGAGTGAGTTGAGTTTTACGCCGTATGTAACGAATGGGTTTGACCGCCAGTCTATCCATCGCACACAGCAACTAACATTTGAATCACATCCAATGTTAGAATGTTCTATGTAATTACTATCCTGTGTTTGCATACGTGCATTTGTTTAGAAATGTACAAGCATATTGGTGCGTTACTACACTATATTGTCAGTATGGCACTGAGACATTATTAAGAAGAATACAACGTCATTATTTCGCCCTGAGCCCTGATAACACTTTATCATCAGACCAGTATCTGGATACGTGCTGTGAAGAAATGTACAAGCATATTGGTGCGTTACTACACTATATTGTCAGTATGGCACTGAGACATTATTAAGAAGAATACAACGTCATTATTTCGCCCTGAGCCCTGATAACACTTTATCATCAGACCAGTATCTGGATACGTGCTGTGAAGAAATGTACAAGCATATTGGTGCGTTACTACACTATATTGTCAGTATGGCACTGAGACATTATTAAGAAGAATACAACGTCATTATTTCGCCCTGAGCCCTGATAACACTTTATCATCAGACCAGTATCTGGATACGTGCTGTGAAGAAATGTACAAGCATATTGGTGCGTTACTACACTATATTGTCAGTATGGCACTGAGACATTATTAAGAAGAATACAACGTCATTATTTCGCCCTGAGCCCTTATAACACTTTATCATCAGACCAGTATCTGGATACGTGCTGTGAAGAAATGTACAAGCATATTGGTGCGTTACTACACTATATTGTCAGTATGGCACTGAGACATTATCAAGAAGAATACAACGTCATTATTTCGCCCTGAGCCCTGATAACACTTTATCATCAGACCAGTATCTGGATACGTGCTGTGAAGAAATGTACAAGCATATTGGTGCGTTACTACACTATATTGTCAGTATGGCACTGAGACATTATTAAGAAGAATACAACGTCATTATTTCGCCCTGAGCCCTGATAACACTTTATCACCAGACCAGTATTTTGATACGTGCTGTGAAGAAATGTACAAACATATTGGTGCATTATTGGGCAACGTCAGAATGAAATTGTTGAGAAGAATGCAATGTCATTTATAGACCCTGAAATGTGGATACTCGGCACTTCATGTTAGAACTCGTAACATATTTTGAATCACGCAGGATAAACTTGGTTTTTCTCTATAAAATATCATGCTTATTTTAAATACAATTTCAGATATGTTACTGGTTATTTAACTGTTCTAGTCCACATGTTATTATGACATATATTTTTTACTTTTTCCAGTCAAAATACAGCTGAAATACTGCAGCATGACTTTCAATTTTAACTCACTCACTCACTCACTCACTCACTCACTCACACAGGGTCATCCTCACACTCAATCAATCAATGATTCTTAAACTATCAATGGACAGCTGATGTCATCACTGATTTTCAGTTAATATTCATTTATAAATCTTTCCACGCTATTTGACCGTTTACGCCCAATAATTGAGGCTGGTTATTCTCTGGTTTGACGTTTTATATTCACATACCCTTGTACAGACACATGTGGCCAGTCCCTGCCTTCACTGGGACGCAGATCTCTTCCGTAGAGCATGGTCTGCTGATACACGGATGCTGCCCATTCTGAAACACATAGAATATTTAGTTTTATTAAAACAAGTCTCGTTTAAATAATTTAGTATGCAATAACTAAAAGATAGAAGGCTCCTCACACGTTATTAAGTTTAAGATCCGGGGTAGAATAGGTCTTCACAAACCCATGCTTGCCGTAAAAGGCGACTATGCTTGTCGTAAGACGCGACTAATGGGATCGGGTGGTCAAGCTCGCTGACTTGCTTGATGCATGTCATCGTATTCCATTTGCGTGGATAGATGTCCATGATGTCAATCACTGGATTATGTGGTCCAGACTCGATGATTTACAGACCGCCGTCAAACAGCTGGAATATTGCTGAGTGCGGCGTTAAACAACAAACAAACAATATTAAGTTTAACTATGATACACATTCCACTGAAACTCAACAAGGATTAGAAAAAGTATTTTCATGATAACTCAATGACGTTTAGGTAAAGTTGACAAAACGTTTATGGATAACAACTTCTTTGTTATTACAGTATCATAAAGATGTTTTTTATCCATAGATTCTTGTCTACTCCGTCAACTTCAAAGAAATAAAAATCAAACAAGACGTTTAGGTATAAGTTTTAAAGATAGGTAGGTGTCATTCCTATCGCTGACTATACGTGTAATTCCTCGGAATGTACATGTGTAGTGTACATGGACTAAGGTATGGGTGAGTGGGTAAAGGTTGTTCAGTTGATTTGATGGGGTCGTGTGAAAATCAAATCCAGGACAATGTGAACATACTCGAGTTTTCACGACCCGTTGAGCATTAATCGGTTTTGAGAAAAAAACATGTAACATTCGCTGCGTCTCTAATGGTTTGGTATTATTGCAGTTCATCTTTGTTTACTCTTTTATATAAATATAATCAATATATCCCATTGTGAAACACGTTTGGAGCACATTACTTCTGTTGCAATGGACCGTTCACAAACTATTTCTCCTTCAAGAAAGTAACTCAGTGATGTAATCGTTGAATGTAGGCTTGTGAACTAGTGGTCAACTAGTGGCATTATGAAAGTTTGTTTACTAGTGGTCGGCAGGACGTCAACTAGCGGCACTATGAAGGTTTGTTTACTTGAGGTCAGCAGGAGGTCAACTAGCGGCATTATGAAGGCTTGTGCACTAGTGGTCAGCAGGAGGTCAACTAGCGGCATTATGAAGGCTTGTTTACTAGTGGTCGGCAGGAGGGGGTCAACTAGCGGCATTATGAAGGCTTGTTTACTCGTGGTCAGCAGGAGGTCAACTAGCGGCATTATGAAGGTTTGTTTACTCGTGGTAGGCAGAAGGTCAACTAGCGGCATTATGAAGGCTTGTTTACTAGTGGTCACCAGGAGGTCAACTAGTGGCATTATGAAAGCTTGTTTACGAGTGGTCAACTAGCAGCATTATGAAGGTTTGTTTACTAGTGGTCAGCAGGAGGTCAACTAGCGGCACTATGAAGGTTTGTTTACTTGAGGTCAGCAGGAGGTCAACTAGCGGCACTATGAAGGTTTGTTTACTTGAGGTCAGCAGGAGGTCAACTAGCGGCATTATGAAGGTTTGTTTACTAGTGGTCAGCAGGAGGTCAACTAGTGGCATTATGAAGGCTTGTTTACTAGTGGTCAACTAGCAGCATTATGAAGGTTTGTTTACTCGTGGTAGGAAGGAGGTCAACTAGCGGCACTATGAAGGCGTGTGTACTAGTGGTCAGCAGGAGGTCAACTAGCGGCATTATGAAGGCTTGTTTACTAGTGGTCAGCAGGAGGTCAACGAGCGGCATTATGAAGGCTTGTTTACTAGTGATCGGCAGGAGGTCAACTAGCGGCACTATGAAGGTTTGTTTACTTGAGGTCAGCAGGAGGTCAACTAGCGGCATTATGAAGGTTTGTTTACTAGTGGTCAGAAGGAGGTCAACTAGCGGCACTATGAAGGTTTGTTTACTTGAGGTCAGCAGGAGGTCAACTAGCGGCATTATGAAGGCTTGTTTACTTGTGGTCGGAAGGAGGTCAACTAGTGGCATTATGAAGGCGTGTGCACTAGTGGTCAGCAGGAGGTCAACTAGCGGCACTATGAAGGTTTGTTTACTTGAGGTCAGCAGGAGGTCAACTAGCGGCACTATGAAGGTTTGTTTACTTGAGGTCAGCAGGAGGTCAACTAGCGGCATTATGAAGGTTTGTTTACTAGTGGTCACCAGGAGGTCAACTAGTGGCATTATGAAGGCTTGTTTACTAGTGGTCAACTAGCAGCATTATGAAGGTTTGTTTACTCGTGGTAGGAAGGAGGTCAACTAGCGGCACTATGAAGGCGTGTGTACTAGTGGTCAGCAGGAGGTCAACTAGCGGCATTATGAAGGCTTGTTTACTAGTGGTCAGCAGGAGGTCAACGAGCGGCATTATGAAGGCTTGTTTACTAGTGATCGGCAGGAGGTCAACTAGCGGCACTATGAAGGTTTGTTTACTTGAGGTCAGCAGGAGGTCAACTAGCGGCATTATGAAGGTTTGTTTACTAGTGGTCAGAAGGAGGTCAACTAGCGGCACTATGAAGGTTTGTTTACTTGAGGTCAGCAGGAGGTCAACTAGCGGCATTATGAAGGCTTGTTTACTTGTGGTCGGAAGGAGGTCAACTAGTGGCATTATGAAGGCGTGTGCACTAGTGGTCAGCAGGAGGTCAACTAGCGGCATTATGAAGGTTTGTTTACTAGTGGTCAGCAGGAGGTCAACTAGTGGCATTATGAAGGCTTGTTTACTCGTGGTAGGCAGGAGGTCAACTAGTGGCATTATGAAGGCGTGTGCACTAGTGGTCAGCAGGAGGTCAACTAGCGGCATTATGAAGGTTTGTTTACTAGTGGTCAGCAGGAGGTCAACTAGCGGCATTATGAAGGTTTGTTTACTCGTGGTAGGCAGGAGGTCAACTAGCGGCATTATGAAGGCGTGTGTACTAGTGGTCAGCAGGAGGTCAACTAGCGGCATTATGAAGGTTTGTTTACTAGTGGTCAGCAGGAGGTCAACTAGTGGCATTATGAAGGCTTGTTTACGAGTGGTCAACTAGCAGCATTACGAAGGTTTGTTTACTCGTGGTAGGCAGGAGGTCAACTAGCGGTACTATGAAGGTTTGTTTACTCGTGGTCGGCAGGAGATCAACTAGCGGCATTATGAAGGTTTGTTTACTCGTGGTCGGCAAGAGATCAACTAGCGGCATTATGAAGGTTTGTTTACTCGTGGTCGGCAGGAGGTCAACTAGCGGCATTATGAAGGTTTGTTTACTAGTGGTCAGCAGGAAGTCAACTAGCGGCATTATGAAGGTTTGTTTACTCGTGGTCGGCAGGAGATCAACTAGCGGCATTATGAAGGCTTGTTTACTCGTGGTCGGCAGGAGATCAACTAGCGGCATTATGAAGGTTTGTTTACTCGTGGTCGGCAGGAGGTCAACTAGCGGCATTATGAAGGTTTGTTTACTCGTGGTCGGCAGGAGGTCAACTAGCGGCATTATGAAGGTTTGTTTACTCGTTGTCGGCAGGAGATCAACTAGGGGCATTATGAAGGTTTTGTTGACTCGTGGTCGGCAGGAGATCAACTAGCGGCATTATGAAGGCTTGTTTACTCGTGGTCGGCAGGAGATCAACTAGCGGCATTATGAAGGTTTGTTTACTCGTGGTCGGCAGGAGGTCAACTAGCGGCATTATGAAGGCGTGTGTACTAGTGGTCAGCAGGAGGTCAACTAGCGGTATTATGAAGGCGTGTGTACTAGTGGTCAGCAGGAGGTCAACTAGCGGTATTATGAAGGCTTGTTTACTACTGGTCGGAAGGAGGTCAACTAGCGGCATAAGGAAGCTTGCAAACTTGTGGTCAACTGGTTAACTATCGGATGATGAAGGCGTGTTAACTAGTCGTTAACTAGCGGCATTATGAAGGTTTGTAAACTAGTGGTTAACTGGTGGTTAACTTGGGAACCACAAGTTATCAGGGAAAGCCACATTTGAAAATTAAATTGTCCCGGGAGAGCCAACTGGCAGTGAGGCTACTCACGATGCGGATGTGTTTACAAATAACGCGCTAAAGAAGCAAACATTCTGTGTCAAGCCCACCTCACACAAAATTCAAAGTCAAGGTTATCTAAAAAATATAGTTACGGATAAACTAAATGATGTCCAGTTGCAATCCTGGATAGCTGCAGGAGATAAATCTCCCAAAAGATTATATGATTGAAAAGAAATAACTGTTTAAATTAAATGCCACTTCAGTTCAGAACATCCGATCACAATTTACCAGATGAAACAGGCGGATGGAGGAAAATAACATTTACTGGAAGGAAATGCTCATTGCGTGACACAGGAGATGGATTTCACTTTTTGTTTATCTGTCCTTCATTTGAAAAAGAGAGGAAACAACTCATTCATAAATATTATTTTATCAACCCAAACATATATAAAATTAATTTACTTTTTAACAGCTCAATGGGCCGGTTACAACTGTAATAATTATGTGCCGTTAATTACTTCGGAATTACGTCACCTGGAATCAACATTGATATCAATATGTGCATTATAACATTTTATACATTTTAACTTGCATAAACTTAAAGTGCAAGTTCACACGGAAATGAACCTATTTTTCTTGTACTTTTTCCACATTAAAAGTGTTAACCTAGAAGTGTCATAGACAAAAATATAAAAATATCACAATTTATTAACATATTTTTCGCATTAAAACGATTTATATTTTTCACATTTACCAAGTGTTCTATTTCCACAACAAAAACACCATGGCTTATGCCCCTTGCAATATGACGTCATTGGTGCCAATTGATTAACATTATGACGTCATCATGCTTTGTTAGAGCCGCTTCACGTGGTGTAGGTACAGGTGTGTGATTCTAGCGTCTCAGATGCCAGCCAGCATAGTGTTATGCTGAGTCACCACTGCGCCGGAATGTGTCGTAGGCCATGTTGTTTTACCGCAAACTGGTACTTGATATCTTTTGCGTTGAGAATAGACAGGGACCCAGTTGAATTGGCACCAATTACGTCATAATCTAAGGGGGATAACTCAGGCCTGTTTAGCTCGAAAAACGAAGGCCTCATAACGGCATATCATTTTCACACTATTGTGAGCTTCCTACTTTCACTGTGAAAAAAATGAGTGTATTAAAGATCAAAAGTGATTTTTGCGTGTACACTTCCCCTTTAACACTACGGTAATGAAATTGATGAGCGGTACTGTTTTGTTCTCGTTTCATTTACATCCCGTGTCGATGAACCGTGTCTACGCCCTTACTGGTCGCGGTAGTGCCACGATGAGTTTACCTCCTAAATATCAAATGTGGCGCTCCCGGATCAACACCGGTTAACTAGTGGTCTACTACTGGCATTATAAACGCTTTTGTTTACTAGTCGTCAACTAGTTGAAAATTAGTGGTGCAGTGGACGTTTCATAGTCCCAGAGTTTCACCATACAGCTCTGTAGCACTTATCAATCATGTTTAGTCAACTTCAAAAGAAATGTTTGGGCCGAGACATTACTACTGCCCCCCTTCCCCTCCCACCACTGTGTTGCTAAACGAACCTATTTCTTAAACGTTTTTCCTATACGTACGAGGGGGCACGGGTGGCCCAGTCAGATAACGGTTCTGTGGTCACAGTATATGAAGCTGTGCGCAGAGCTTATGGTTTTGGTCCTGTGGTTGTAGTATGCAGTGTTCTTTTGTTTATCATGTGGTCGTATCAAGTAGTCGTATGATAAATGCTTCTACGATGATTTCTACTCGTGTTAAGACGACATTCACTCACTGATATATTGACATAATGTGCTCCGAGTGTTGACTTCCATGACACAGAGGGGGGCACGGGTGGCCCAGACGTGTATGGCGCCGCGATTCGCTGTGCAGAGTTGCGTCCCTTGGGCACGCCAGAAACCTAAAATTGTGGGTTCGAATCCCGGTTCGCCTCGATTATGTTTCTAGGTTTATCAGCACAATACCCGTGCTCGTGGGTTTCACCGAAGTGGTAAACGTCTGAGACCTGCATCACTTCGGGCTTTCCTCCCACATGAAGCTGACACGCCGTGATATAACTAGAATACTGTTAAAAGCGGCGTTAAACCCAACTCACTTACTTACTCACCAAATTAGTGGTCAAATGGTGGTCTTCTGGTGGCATCTAGTGTAGGAAAACTTACTGGGTACGAAATGGAAGTACGGCCGTTCTGTAATGGGATATCCATATCCTCAGGTCTTAGTGTAGCGGTTGCTTCAACAAAGATCTGATTTTACTGAGGTTGAAATATGTATGGAATCATAAAAAAAACATTGTAGGGAAAACAATGACTGACAATCGAGGAAGTACATAACCTGTGGCACCAGGGCGTCTGAGTAGATGTGATGTGGGCTGACAGAGAAGGATGCCGGCGAGGTGTCCCTGGTCTCACTGCTGAGGTAACACAAGCCCGTCCTTGTAGCCCAGGTGCAGGACATGCAGGAGACGGAGTACCAGCACAGAGACTGACACGAGGTGAAGCTGGAGACCCCTGTCTCCATGTATACACCAGACACAAGTTGTCCAGAGAAGGTCTTCTTTGCGTGTCCTTGTGTTGAAGCCAACAGGGTACAAGCAATGAGCGACACGATACCACTACCGTAGGACACCATGTTTGTTGTCTTCTGTGAACGGCCCAGGAATGATACATCATTCTGATCGTTGATGCAGTTGGTAAAAACGTCCACGACGTCTTCAGAGGAAGATCATCTCGTGCTTTCACATCATCTTGAGTTAACGGAACTTATCTCAATATGTTCATAAAAAGAACTGTATTCTTTAGACATCTTCAAGTATATAAGGAAGTTCGTTATCTTCTCAAGTACTATCAACTGCTTGACCGATTTCGGGAGATTTTAATGCACCGGGACATAGTACCTACACAATGTACTGTATGTCTTTTAGATTTGCAAACTGTCCTTTGGGTAAACAAATATTGATTACAAAATATACATCAACTTTTATTGGCAAATCAAGGAGTTCTGAAAGCAGTTGTTTAATCGTTACACCAGTTTGCTATATAGAACAGTGTAGTCGGATTTACGCTTCACCGCGTGGAAAAAGAACTGTCAATTTGACATGTCCACAAGAATCCCTATCGTGGGTATACTGGTACTTATGGTAAAGTGGTTGAGTAGAATAGGTACGTTACAGTGTAACAATCCAATCATTAAATTCAGACGCAGGAACTCGGTGCTACTATTTCACCCCCAAAGGAAACTTTTGCAGACAGGTATTCCCAGTACGACTGTAATGATCCATTTACTGTAACCAGACCACGTTCCCTGAGTAGACATACTCAGTGGAGTGAACAGACCAGGAAATGGATCGTGTTTAACGGTCTGCAATGGCAAAACTAAAGCTGAGGATATCGTTATCAAAGTTGGCCATGAAAGGAGAATGTGATCCTCCCTGACATACACAGCTAGTGTACTGAAGACACGTGGGCTAGTCAAGTGCAAATGGAAAATGGAAACACAGACGTTGAGAACAAATATGGAATACATAGCAACGAGTGAACTTGGTCTAATGAAATGAAATATAAACTTTTTCACGAACCTTTTTACTTTACCTTCTAAACAAACACAAATGCGGGTGCGCACGCGCGCACACACACACTCACACACATACAAATACACACACAAACACACACACACACACACAAACACAAACACTAACAAATACACACACAAACACACACACGCATACACATACATACACACACAAACACACAAACACACACAAACAACCACACGCAAACACATACACACACATATACAAACACACACACACACGCAAACACATACACACACAAACACACACACATACAAACACACACACACATACATACATACATACATACATACATACATACATACATACATACATACATACATACATACATACATACATACATACATACATACAGGTGACTAGGTTGTGAAGAGAACCGGGGTAGACGTATACCCGGCACCCCATTGCTAGTCGTTATATAAGAGGTGACTAGGTTGTGAAGGGAACCGGCGTAAAATGAATACCCAGCACCCCATTGCTAGTCGTTACATAAGAGGTGACTAGGTTGTGAAGGGAACCGGGTTAGACGTATACCCAGCACCCCATTGCTGGTCGTTATATAAGAGGTGACTAGGTTGTGACGGGAACCGGGGTAGACGTATACCCAGCACCCCATTGCTAGTCGTTATATATGAGGTGACTACGTTGTGAAGGGACCCTGTTAGACGTATACCCAGCTCCCCATTGCTAGTCGTTATATAAGAGGTGACTAGGTTGTGAAGGGAACCGGGGTAGACGTATACCCAGCACTCCATTGCTAGTCGTTATATAAGAGGTGACTAGGTTGTGAAGGGAACCGGGGTAGACGTATACCCAGCACTCCATTGCTAGTCGTTATATAAGAGGTGACTAGGTTGTGAAGGGAACCGGGGTAGACGTATACCCAGCACTCCATTGCTAGTCGTTATATAAGAGGTGACTAGGTTGTGAAGGGAACCGGGGTAGACGTATACCCAGCACTCCATTGCTAGTCGTTATATAAGAGGTGACTAGGTTGTGAAGGGAACCGGGGTAGACGTATACCCAGCACCCCATTGCTAGTCGTTATATAAGAGGTGACTAGGTTGTGAAGGGAACCGGGGTAGACGTATACCCAGCACTCCATTGCTAGTCGTTATATAAGAGGTGACTAGGTTGTGAAGGGAACCGGGGTAGACGTATACCCAGCACCCCATTGCTAGTCGTTATATATGAGGTGACTACGTTGTGAAGGGACCCTGTTAGACGTATACCCAGCTCCCCATTGCTAGTCGTTATATAAGAGGTGACTAGGTTGTGAAGGGAACCGGGGTAGACGTATACCCAGCACTCCATTGCTAGTCGTTATATAAGAGGTGACTAGGTTGTGAAGGGAACCGGGGTAGACGTATACCCAGCACTCCATTGCTAGTCGTTACATAAGAGGTGACTAGGTTGTGACGGGAACCGGGGTAGACGTATACCCAGCACTCCATTGCTAGTCGTTATATAAGAGGTGACTAGGTTGTGAAGGGAACCGGGGTAGACGTATACCCAGCACCCCATTGCTAGTCGTTATATAAGAGATGACTACGTTGGGATACGGGGTTATAATGTAGTCCTACTAACCTATGTTGTTCGGGTGGTCAGGATCGGTGACAAGGTGTCAGCGTACCAGAACAGCATGGATCGTTGGACATAATAGCGATCAATAGAGAGTCTGTTCCCGACTTTATTATCAATCATTTACAGGCCTCCGTCATGCAGATCTAAATCTGGAATGTTGCTAAGCGCGACGTTAAACAACAACAATTAACCTTTCATCTGACCAGTCAGAGTGTCGCTTACCAGATCAGGAAAGTGACAGTAGTTATGCAACATCGAAACAGTTACGTGGTATTCCAAACGACAGTTATGGGCTGTTCGACTGATGCAGTCTAAATCATCGTCTATCTCACGGGAATGGGATAAATATTTGAACGGAATTGATTTTGAATAGCCCGTTGAAACTACTGCCATATAATCTTGGCCATCTGTTAGACATTCCATAATGTTAGTTTTGTTCAGATATCATATTGTGAATCAAGAACTTTGTCAAATTAATTTTCAAAGCTTAGGTGGAATAGAAGTCGCCAGTTTGAAACTGGTGCCGTATAACTCGAGATAGTTGCCTTCTGATTGGTTAATGTCGGCACGTGTTAGTTATGTCATTGATAGGTCAAAGTTCGTGAAAGGTCGACGTTCTGACATGACCGGTGATTGGAGGTTCTCAGATCTTTGTTGATATCTGATTTTAATATTGTGTTTAAACTGTCTACAAGTAGCACCCTAGGCTAAATACGGAGAATCTTCATCTTTATACGAAACTTCATAAGACAATATGTACAAGTACTTTTCTGATATTCTTAAATTTTATCTCAAAAACCTTATCAATACCATGATATACTGCTAGATAATACATTATGTATTCACTTACACATAAATCAGTTTATTGACGTCGGTGATAAAGTATCCCATTTAATTATTTAATTACTACATGCCTGCCTACAAAATGATTACCGTAAAGTATGTATATGTACAAGCACAAGCAAATAGATATTATAAATGAAGTAGTCATAGTCAAAATGATTTCATGGTACGTTAGGCCTCCGTTCCAAATACAGTGGCTAAGGTCATCTAAGGAGGTCATTTCTGGAGAACATCTATTTTTAGACTTCGTTCACATACACTTAACGCCGTTGAATTAATGGAAAGACACATGTACAGAAACCTTTTACAATCTAGCAGGTTGGTCTTCTCGATAGAATTTCAAATTTAAAAGGGGGAGGTCGGGTAGCCTAGTGGTTAAAGCGTTCGCTCGTCACGCCGAAGACCCGGGTTCGATTCCCGACATGGGTGCAACGTGTGAAGCCCATTTCTGGTCTACCCCGCCGTGATATTGCTGGAATATTGCTAAAAGCAGCGTAAAACCATACTCACTCACTCACTCAAATTTTAAAGCCCCAAACTTCAGACCCGAGCAAAAGGAATTTTGCATTTTATAAAAAGATGCGTGTTTTAACATCACCTTATTACAGATAGGACATACAACTGAATTGTTTTGTCCTTACTCACAGGGCAGGGCCATCTTACAAAAGCGTTTGAATATATAGCACATCGAGATATGTATAATCATTTAACACCTCCACAACCTCTTCCTTTGTAACATTAAATTTCTCTTGAGGTTACCACCTTTTTGGAGGTCAAAATGCATTTACAGTGAGGATAATTTCTTTTTTAATCTTTGCTCATGAAAGACCCTCAATAACTGCTCATGATACTAATCAAGCGATTGTCTGGTCCAGACTCGATTGTTTACAGGTCTCAGTCGCATGGTAGGAGTATTGCTGGGTGTGGCATTATAATTAGGCCAGAAACGATTACTTTCCAAACAAATTGCTGGAGTGGCGGGTGCTACCGACCGAGCAGGATATGCTTGCCCTATTCACGAACGCCTGGTGTCATTACTGACTTTTCAGTTACACATACTGTATTCGACGTAAAAAGCGCCCCGCTCTAATAAGCGCCCATGGCGATATTTGTTAATATATTGGCTAGTGAACAATCCCAAAAAGCACCCCTTCCGATTGATCAATGTACACAAGACTTATTTATTCGTGTATAATACGCACTCGTGCGTTATATGCACCCTTAATTATGGGCAATTACATTCATGAAAAATATATCTGTCGTATATAAAAATGTCAGGCTGTCAGCATAAACCACGAAATTTATCTTTCAACTCTGTTTTTTTTTCACCAAAATACCATTCTAATAAGAGCCCCCTATTTTTTAATTTTAAGATCGCCCTGGGCGCTTATTACGTCGAATACGGTAAATATAATTTCCACTACAGTGATGTGTTTTGCGTCATGTGTCGGCAGATAATCGGTACAGATTATTCTATGGCGTGCATTGGTTGTATATTATTATGTCAATGTTTGTTTGCGAATGGAGAATTCAGTGATTACATTGAGTGTCCTATGGGTGTAAAGTAAGTCTATTATATACTAAGTCTATTTTCCATTTCCTTCATCATTAAGGA